GATGGGCAGGTAAAAGACACTCTGCTCCTGCTGCCGGAAACCAGACCTCCTAGTTAGAATCCGGGCTGTGTTATCTGAAAGAAGCAAGGGGTTCCAGGATTGGAAAAGGGAAGATGAATTAATTTCTTGGATTGAGGAAAGCAAGGGGGCATGGGCAGGGTGTAGGAAGGAGAGAGGGTAGTCAAATGTTCCCTGGTGCTGGTCAGCCATGGCAGGTTTGCCTGGATCAGCATTTGGATTCAGAAACCACGCTTTTTGCTTGCTTTTAGGCAAAACCCTGAGGTCTAGAAGAGAAAGGCTTTTTTTGAGTCTGTCTTACGCTTTGTGACATAAAGTGCCCAAGGCAAACTGTCAGACTTCAGATCTACAAAAATGTCCCTGGGAAAGCTTGACAGAAATGAACAATCACTGGTGACTTGTGGTCCCTGTTTGTTCCCGCTCAGCAGCTTGCCAAGGCCCCGTTGCTGCTTTGTGCCTCCAGGAAAAGAATGCTGAGGAACCCACGTGGCTGTGGCAGATTGCTTATTTTCGCCACTTTGGCTGGAATTCACGTCTTTTGCTGTTTTCCTTTATGCCTCTGAAATGCAAGCACCAACTCCTCCAGTGTTTCCTAAAGAACGTGCTCATTCAGTAGAAGCTTATTTGAAATCCTCTAATCATATGACGTACCTTGTTATTTCTCCTGAGTTGGTGGACTAACTTGAAGCAGTTAATATGAACTTGGTGAAAATTTGTTCCTGATCAATACTAGAAATCTTTCCTCCAGTTTTAAAGAGGATTAGTCAAATTATTAGATGTGTTTCTACAAAATTAGGGTGTGTATTTACATTGTTATTCATATATTGTGTTGTGGGATTTTTTCATTTCTAAAATCTATGTTCTCTAGTTTCCTAGAGTAGGTTTAAATTCTAAAGTAGATATACTTTTGCAAAGCTCAGATTATTTTCTGCAGAGGAAAAATTGAGAGATGTGGTAGGACATACAAGAAGTGATTTTCAAAGCTAATAGCACCAGCACAGAGGTCCTGTGGATGTGTTTCATAGTTCATAGGAAAGAGCCTAGAATATCACCAAAAATCCTGAGAGCCTAACCAAAGTAAACATTATTAGTGATCATCAATATTTCTGGTTCTTCTTCCCTTTTTGAACATAATAAAGGATTATAGTTTTCTGTGCTCTTAAAAAAAAAAAAAAAAAAACAATAAGGCCTGTTCCCTCCCCTATCTCAGTAAACGATGTCATCACCCACCCCCTTGCTCAGAAAAAAGGGAATCAGACTTGATTCTTTGCCTTTTATGACACCTAAACCATATACATCAGCAAATCCTGTTGGTTCTGTCTCCAAAAATTTATCTTAAATCCAGTCACTTCAGACACTTTCAAATGCTAAAACCCTACTCCAAGCCACCTGTATTAATTTTCTGTGATTGTTGTAACAAATTGTGTTGTGTGTTGTTTTCAGCCACTTGCTCCCTTTACTCAAATGTATTTTCTCACAGTTCTGGAGGCCAAAAATCCAGGTCATCTGTAAGGGCTCTAGGGGAGAATCCTTTCCTTGCTTCTTCTGGCTTCTAATGGTGGCCAGCATTCCTGATCTGTGGCCACATCACTCTAATCTCTGTCTCTGAGGTCACATTGCCTCCTTCTGTGTCAGATCTACCTCTGCTTCTCTCTGACAAGGATGCCTGTGAATGCAATTAGAGTCCATCCTTATAATCCAAATAATCTCTCCATTTTAGTATCCTAAAACAATTACTTCTGTAAAGTATTTGCCATATAAAGTAATCTCCAGTTGAGCACAGTGGCTCACACCTGTAATCCAAGGCCGAGGCAGGGGTATCACTCAAGGTCAGGAGTTCGAGATGAGCCTGGCCAACAAGGTGAAACATCTATGACTTCATATGCTCCTGACTTTCCACCCTCCTCACTGGTTCCTTCTTTCCTTTTTTGGATCCATCCCTCTGTTTTGTATTTTTAGTAGTCTCTACTAAAAATAAAAAAAAATTAGCCAGGCATGATGGCACAGGCCTGTAATCCCAGCTACTCGGGAGGCTGCGGCAGGAGAATTGCTTGAACCCGGGAGGCAGAGGTTGCAGTGAGCCAAGATTGCGCTACTACACACCAGCCTGAGTGACAGAGCAAGACTCCCTCTACAAAAAAATTAAAATTAATCTCCACATGTTCTAGAGATTAGGACATACATATCTGTCTTTTCCAGGACTATTTTTAAGCCTACAATACCACCATCATCTCTCGCCTGATCTATGGCTACATCTTCCTAATAGATTTGCCTCCTACTTTAACTTGTATCCTCCCAAAGCAGGGAAGATTTCCTTGAAGAGCAAATCTTTTGCTTAAAACCTGTGAGTGGTCTCTAGTGCAATCCAAAACCCTTATCATGGCCTCAAGGCCCGATTTAATCTGGCCTTTGGCTACTTCCCACTTTGTCCTAGCCATTCCCACCTTTTTGTTATTTCTGAAGTGTGCCAAGTATGCTGGAGGGAGTTCTGTCGTCTCTGGAGCACTCAATTGCCCCAACTACCCCGTGCCCCAATGCCATCCCCCAGACCACCACCTAGCTCTTCATCCATTTGCTCTCTTCTCGTCATGTAAATCTTGGCTATAAGATCACCCACTCAGCTATAAAATCACCCACTCAGAAAGCTCCTTTTCCTCAGTCATTCTCTACCTCACTGTGCCTTGTTTTATTTTCTTCATGGCACTTACTCTCTGAAATCATCTCAGGGACTTGTGTGTTTGTCATTGATATGATTGTTGACTAGCCCAGCCTTCTCTGCAGCCTAAATATCTCAAATGACAGTGTGTCCAAACATGAACACCCTTAGGATGAGCCCAGTGTGTCCTGTCCATGTTCCTTTTGATCTGTGATATCAGTGACTCAACATACTGGCCTGACTAGTGTAAGGTAGGAAGGAAGATGTCCCAGCTACTTTACATATTAATGAAAGTGTAACTTTCCCAGCATCAAAAGAGCAGGACTCCATAGAGAACAAACTTTATCCTTTCCTAATGGTCCCTTAATAGATATCTGCAAAATCCCTGTGATTTCATCCAAGGGGATGAAAAGTCTTGTCATTCTTGGTTACTCTTAGAATGTTGGGTCTCACTTTGAGACCCAAGAACATTATTGGCTCACTTAGTTTGATCTTGTTTAAAATAATAAAACAAAATTACTACCAATGCCCAGTTCTTCAATAACCCTCTCCAAAGAAACCTCTCGGTCTCTCTTTAATTTTTTTATATCATCTAGGTAAGGAATGAGCCAACTTTCTCAAAAACAGTCGCCAACCCCTTTCTTTGTGAGTGCTGCAAAGGAATGCTAGCATTTTTAGAAGGGGTTATCTGTAAACATCGGTTCTCTGCCTTTAGTGACCTCATTGCAATCTGAGACCTTGAATTCCATCTTAGCATCCCATTATAAAGGCTAAGATTAAATGTGAGCTATTTGTACTTTTGTCAGTGTTGAGCTACACAGTTTACAAACTGCTGAAACTGCCAATTCCTTTTTACACATAAAATGGTCCATGTGGAGAACATATTTATCTTCATAACATTTGTTTTCCCTGGACTACACATGGCACCATAGCCCTCTTATTTCCTGCCTTGGGCATACCCAAATCTAATATTACTGTACCCTCTGAACTTTTAGTGTCTTCTCTCCAAAGAGAAAAACTACTTTTCACTCCCTGGGCCCAAGGAGGAATGGGCCAAATTGCTACAGAAGTTGAGTCAACCCACTGCTCTCAAATCCTGAGATGTATTCCCTGTGGGAAAAGGAACATGCCTTCGGGACCCTGTGCCCCAAATTTCACAAGACCCACAGACACCCTCAGCCCGGCCCAGCCCAGGCTCCCAGTATTTGCACAAATCCTCCCTCTTTCTCAGCCTGCATCCTCTCAGTGACTGGTATCTTCTTCCTCCAGCCAGTCATTATTGCTGGGAGTGCAATTCTGTTTTCCTTGAGCACTCAATTCCCCACCCCCCCACCCCCCACCCCCGCTCCATCCCCGAGTCCACCACCCAGCTTTTTAACTTGTACCCTCACAAAGCAGGGAGATTTCCTCAAAGAGCAAACTTTTGTTTAAAACCTGTGAGTGGCCTCTAGTGGAATCCAAAACCCTTATCTTATGCCTAAGGCAGGAAATAAGAGGGCTATGGTGCCATGTGTAGTCCAGGGAAAACAAATGTTATGAAGATAAATATGTCCTCCACGTGGACCCTTTTATGTGTAAAAAGGAATTGGCAGTTTCAGCAGTCTGTAAACTGTGTGGCTCAACACTGACAAAAGTACAAATAGCTCACATTTAATCTTAGCTGTTGTAATGGGATGCTAAGATGAAATTCAAGGTCTCAGGCTGCAGTGAGGTCACTAAAGGCAGAGAACCTCTCCTGAAAATGACAACTGATGGTGTGATGCCTCTACCTTGAGTCTGATCAGGCCCTCATGCGGCTGACCTGGGCCCTCTGTGATGTCATGTGGCTGAGGCAGGATAGGGTGGTATATAAGACATGCGGTTGCCCTTTCTCCTTGCTGGCCCAGCTGCCTGGGCTGGTTCTGTTAGCTTTGGCTCTGGGCCGGAGAGTGGAGGATGAGGAGCAGGAAGCTAGCCAAGAGACTCATCGTGGGAAATTCACCGTCTGCAGGGGTGCTGGCCGCTGCGAGCACCCTCTTCTGAGTTGACGGGATGGGAGCTGGGCGCTCCCTGGGTGCAGCTGCTGTTGCCCAGCTGTGGCTGCAGACCCAGGCCTCCCTGTGCTCTTGGGGACCAGGAGCAGCCAGAAGCCCCACCCTCCCAGGGACAGCTACTGCTGCTCAAGCCTGTGGCTGCAGACCCGGTTATCTCTTCACTCTCCAGGGGCTGGGAAGGCCCCCCTGACTGCGGCAGGCTCCGAAATGTCTGCTTCTGCTGCCTGGTCTCTGACCGCTCCCGGTGCCGGCTCCACAGTCTCTGAAATGTCGGATCCAACTCCTGGCTTCTCCCTGCTCCCAGTTCCCTCTCTAATCTCAGAGCAAAGTTGAGGCCAAGGCTGGCGCTATTGCAACCCGGCCGGGTGTGTGCACAATCAGGCAGCGCTGACATGCCAGCCCCCTGCTGCCTTGGCCCCCTCTGGACTTTGGGCGCCAATGAGCCCAGGAGGGGCAGACCAGCACTGGCCTGCAGGTGCCCCTCAGTAAGAACAGCCTGGGTGCTCTAATGTTCCTGCTGTTTTACTTCCTCCCCTGGCCCCAGGTCAGGACGGAGTGTCACTCTTGTTACCCAGGCTGGAGTGTAATGGTGCGATCTCGACTCACTGCAACCTCCGCCTCCTGGTTCAGGTGATTTTCCTGCCTCAGCCTCCGGAGTAACGGGGATTACAGGCGCATGTCACCATACCTGGTTAATTTTTGCATTTTTAGTAGAGAGAGGGTTTCACCATGTTGGTCAGGCTGGTCTTGAACTCCAGACCTCAGGTGATCCACCTGCCCCGGCCTCCCAAAGTGCTGGGATTACAGGCATGAACCACCGCACCTGGCCTCTGTTTTACTTCTAACTGCTCTTCCTCCCCCTTCTCTGTGACTCTCTCATTGCATAATTTTGCCCCCTCTTTCTCTCCTTCATCTACTCCTCTTTTCTTTGCCTCATTTCCTCCCTCTGTACCTAGAAAGTTTTGCATTTGGGCTAAAAAATGAATCCAACCATTTCTCTTCAGCCTTCTTCCAGCCTTAAATTTCTAATACAGAAGAATTAGTGAGCTACCAAAAATTTGAAGACCTTTCTTCTAGTTCTATTCTTGTTGCATTCCCCTCCTGTTTAGTCCATTCACCAGACTATATTTGGGCTATTCCCTAGCTTTCTCTGTGTCCTTCCATTCACTAGGACTTGGTAGATCTTACCCTCTTCACACTGCTCTTTCAGCTGGTTAGAAATGAAGCCCTTCCCACCAGTAAGAACTGGGAAACATGGTTGGAACTAAAGAATTCTCCTTCTCCCCTTCCCTCATTATCAGTCTTCAGTTCACTCTTCCAGGAGCACCTAGAACAGCCTGTGACTAAACATCCCATTTGGACCCCTGAGCACAGATTGCAATCCACTAGATTAGGGTCCTGGGCTTCAAACCTGTATTTATTTCAAGGCTTTGGCCTATATTTCTACTTTCAGGGAGCGCATGCAGAGGCTAACCACACCATGCTGCTTCCCCTGGGCCAGACCCTAATGACAGATGCTTTACCTTGAACACTAAATGGACAGGCCTTAATCGCAAAGCATCACCTCTCCCCTGGACTCCAGAGGATTTTTCCTAACTGCTTACTTGACATATCTATTAGCTATCTCAAACTGGAAGGTTAAAAACTGAACTCTCCCTCATCCATAATCTGCCTCCCCTTAGCCTTCCCTTTGTCAGTAAATGATGAGTCTTTTCCTTGTATTGCTAAGGCCAAAACATCCTTTTTGATGCTCATTTACTTCTTGCACATCAACAAATCCTGTTAGCTCTACCTGAAAAATAGACCCAGAATACGAATCTTGCTCACCTGGCCTGCTGCCATCTAGTGCAGACCACGGTGGCTTGCAGCAGGCACCAGGCCCTCTCACTCAGTTTCAGCCATATCATCTGTTCTGCATTCCTTGTTGGCCTTTTCATTTGCTCTTCTCTTTCCCTGGAGCCCTCTTCCCTCAGGTATTTTTCTCTGGTCACTCCTTGACTCTCTAAATTTCTGCTCAAATGCCACATACTGAGAGATTTTCTGAACCACCTGCATCTCTCCCTCACCTCTTTCTCTGCATTATTTTTCTCAACAGTACTTATCACCACTCATTCCCAACAAATAATTATTTTATTTATCCTAGGTCTTTCTCTGCTGGAATGTGAGCATCTTGAGGGCAGATACTTGTTTTATTCTCTGCTGCATCCTGGCCAATGGGGCTCAGCTAGAGCAAAGGAGTTTTCTGGGCAAGGCAAAATGAACAAAGAGAGATCAAGTCCCTTTAGGAAAACACACCAAGCTTGCTGGGGGATATGGAGACAGGGAGGTGAGGTCAGGCAG